CAGGATGCTGCAAATGGTTTGTGGTTCCAATGCCCAGTGGAAGGAGGCGCTACAAAGAAAGAGGGAAGAGAGATTGGACGCATCAGAAGCCGCAAGGAAGAAGAGAGTGGCCACTCTAGTCAAGGAGCTTCAACAAAAGAAGCAAAGGGTCCTAAACGAAGTGCAATTGCAGGCTTCTCGTTTTGACGAAGAAATGAACTCCCTGAAACTGTAAACCCTGGTCAATGCTGTATTCGAAACATCTTCAAGGGTGAAGACAGTTGCTTTATTTAACTTAAATAAAATATTTTACGATGTGAATAGTGTCTATTATATATTGCGTTTTGGTGTCAGCAGTTGTTTCTGGGTGTGGGTCAGGGAATTTAATTAAGATAGTCAGGGAAAACTTGGAAAAGTCAGGGAATTTGAAGAAAAACAATTTGGTAGACACCCTGCATTACCTCACTGGGACCGGCGTTCAACCGAACGGAACTGTTCGAAGCACAGCAGAGCGACTCGTTTTGTCGCGCCCTCTTTGGACTGGCTCGGGCAACTGTTCGAAGCACAGCAGAGCGACTCGTTTTGTCGCGCTATCTTTGACCGGCTCAGGCAAGTGATGGATCCTGACCAGACCGGTGAAAAGACACTCCGGCACTCCGGAACGCCGAGAGGGCCAAGTGCCACCACCCGGGAGTCAGACATTGAAGCAGGTGAGCTGGAGTCTTATCTGATCGATGCGGACGGTGTCCTACTCCGCTACTTCCCGGAAGAGAGCGATTCAAGTGAGTCGTTCAAGACCGTGATTCCCCGCGATCTCAGACGGTCACGGCAGTGCTCCGAAGTCGTGGCATAAGCTGCGCCGTTTCGCTACCTGGCTGGGCATGAAGGGGCAGCTGTGCCGTTATGTCCGTAGCTGCGCAGTGTGCCAAAAGCGCAAGCCCAGGGGGGGCAGACCACCCGGCCTGCTCGAGCCCATCGTGAGTACGCGGCCATGGGAGATCGCGGCTTGTGACTTGATGGAACCCCTGCCGCGGTCAAGTGGAGGCTATCAACATGTGTTGGTAGTAACTTGCCTCTTTACCGGATTCGTCGAGATGTTTCCATTGCAGAAGGTGACAGCCAAGGGAGTCCTGAGCAGGCTGTTCGAGGTCTGGTGTTGCTGCAGGTTCCCCTAGAGACTGGTGAGGGACAACACCTCGGTATTTTGCTCGAAAGTCTTCGCGGCAACCTGCGACATCAAGCCGCTGCTCGGGGCGTATACTCATAAGCAGCGGGACTGGGATCTGCTCTTGGATTCGATTTCGTTTGCATTGCGGCCCAACCTCAACCGCAGCACTGGGTTCACGCCTGTGCTGTAGAACTTCAGCAGAGAACTCTCTACGCCGACCGATGCGGTTCTTCGCCCGCAACAGAGCGCGACCAGAGCGGTGCCCTCGCACGAGGATTTTGCGACGCGGACAAGAGAGCGACTGTCGCGGGCGCTGGACGCCGCTCGCGGAAACAGGGCTCGTGCGCAGGTGGAGCAGAACACCTATGACAAAGCGCACTGCGATGCGGAGTTCGAGGTGGGCGACACCGTTCTTCGGCGAAGTCACGTTCAGAGTGATGCGAGTAAGTTTTTTTCGGCGGCGTTGGCCCCCAAGTGGGTTGGCCCCTTCGTCATCGATTCCAAGAAGTCCTGACTGACATACACGCTGAGGGACCAGAATTCTGATCTCTTCCGCGGGACAGTTCACATCGGCGAACTGAAACCCTTTTTCCCCAGGGAAGGGGATGAGCCGGTCAAGTGGCCGCAAAGGGGCATTCGCGGGCACCAGCGATCTCAGGATTTCCTGGGACCACCACGGTACAACTACAACACGCGTAGCCGGAGGCAACCCGATGGGATCGGAACCTCGTAGAGTGCGTGGCCCCGGAAAGAGAAGAAGAGGGGGGACGATCCAAAATCGGCGTTCCGTAACCTGGGAAAGGGAAGAAGGGGAACGATCCGAAATCGGCGTTCCCGGCATTGTTTTTTTTTTTTTGTCGGTGGGGGGAGAGGTGCCTCGGAATCCTCATTTTTTGTTTTTCTTGTTTTTGCTTTGGAATGTTTTTTTTTTGTGCGGCGTTGCTGTTGGTGTTGGGGTGCTGCTTCCTCGCTGGGTGCGCGCCTTGGACTTTTCCCATCTTGTGCGCCATCGGCCCTGCGGCTGCTGCCTCGAGACGCGGCTTGGATGGTCCTCTCCTGGGAGACGATGAAAGGATGAGTCGCCGTTTCAACAAACACTAGCCTGGGCTGAACTCCTCGTCCCCGGGCAGCGTATTCCCCGGCCGGAACCACAGCTCTGAAAGCCTCTATGGACGTCCGCGACACCACTTAGGACGCCAAGTGCAGTTCTTAGTGAAATTGGACTTCCAGCCCCGCATCGCTCCGGGAGGGCTGTCGCAGCTGGGTCACAACCACAGTCCCTCTCAGGTGCACCGCTCCATGGGGGGGGGGGGGGGGGGGGGGTCCAGTCTTCTGGTGGCCAGGCACACTGCTCAAGGACCCCGTTGCCCCGGAGGCCGCCGCCAAGCCGAAGTCGACACAGCCTACTGTGAGGTGTGCGGTGGCCGCGCACCCCAGGTCTCGGGCGAACTGATGGACCTCAGTGAGGACAACCTATGAGACCAGTGGTGTGTGTGTGTGCGTGTGGGGGGTCTCCAGGCCAAACCAAGCGACCATGTTCCCAGCAGCCTAACCGTACGTCTGAATTCCGGCGTACTTCGATTTTTAGGAGAGGGAGTATGGCGCACCATGCATTCACGAGGGCGCCCATCAAACCATTCTGCCATTCTTGGCCGCGAGGCAGCTATGTAGCTGCCTCGCGTCAGACATGATTACATGGTCGTGTCGCCGCGGGGTCGGTTGGGATCTCGAATTCGGCTCCCGAAGTGCCGATTTCTCTCCTAGCCACTGGATGGCACTGCAGGCGCCTTGTGGCGGGCGAGGAGAAACCTCCTCGCCCATCGATCGATATATACTTGGTGGGCCAGGGGGCAAGAGCCTCTTAGAACTTGGGACGCCACGGAGTCCAGGCAAGTGTAGGGCGACTGGATTTAGGGTAATCGCGGGACACGAGGCCTGGGGGCCCTCTTTGTTGTTTAGCTTTGGGCTTAATGTGCATTTGTAAATATTTGTGTAATGTCACGTGTATTTGTAGTTTAGATTGAGTGTTTTGCAGCGTTGCGTTTTATTGTACCAATAAACGGGGGCGGAATCCCGCTCCCGTGAAAGAGCCAGGCTGGACTTAGTTTGTTGACGGACCACGTGGGAAATGGCGAATCGGCGGCGGTACGCAATTTCCTACAAGCTGCACATATGTGGAAAAGCTAAAACAGGCTGTGCATAAACAGACACTGAGGTGTCTGTATCTTTTTACTCCTAAAGAAGCCTTGAGAGAGAGAGATGTTATTGTCCCGTCTGTGCCATATCCCTTTCAGAAGATGTGAAAACAGCTTTTTCAATAATTCTTACATCTCTACAATGGAGTCCAAGAAGCTTTACTCTTATACAGCCCTGAAACTGTCCTACAGAGTGAGTGTGTGCTCGACAGTTGAATGATTCTTATAGAGCTGCCCTCAAATGTGGCAGTGATGGTAAAATAAATATTGACATAACAGGTACAGATTGGTGGCATTCTGCTTTCAGCTGACAAGTAAGGGATTGCCTCACAAGCCCTACTGTGTGGAGGGCTCTGTTTTCACTATTTTGACTTGTATTCAAGAAACAAAAAAAAATCCTGTGAACACAGTTTTTTTTAAAGAACTCTCAGCCTAAATTAGTGTTCTGGTTTACCTCACGCCTCTTTCAACACCTCTATGAACATGACTGACACAAAATCAATAAAATTCAATGTCATTCGAGCACATATTTTTCCTCCCTGCCATCTGTAACCATGCAGTAAAGTTGACATTTGGGCTAGTTGGTAGTCTAACATATTGAGGTATTTAGCGCACAAGGTAGGAAGAAGGACAAGACAGAAAAGAGCGCTACTCACAACTACGTTTACTAATAAAAAGGGAAGAGAAAGAAAACACCTAAATAATCCGCCGCGGACTCGTGCACCTGCCACAGCCCCGTGAATGATAGCCATAGCCCGCACGAGCCTTGATGAACTAGCCGCTATCATTCACGGGGCTGTGGCAGGTGCACGAGTCCGCGGCGGATTATTTAGGTGTTTTCTTTCTCTCCCCTTTTTATTAGTAAACGTAGTTGTGAGTAGCGCTCTTTTCTGTCTTGTCCTTCTTCTTCCTACCTTGTGCGCTAAATACCTCAATATGTAACCATGCCTTCTCCTGCCAGCAAGCATCACTCCAATTACTTAAGCGTGCCTCGGCTTGTGCAAGAAAGTGACTTCAAGCTCTTGGACGTTTTGTGTTTAAAAACATTCTCATTGCCCCTAGAGAATATTGCAGTGACCTGTAAGCAGCCACCAGCTGCACTCTATTGCAAGGTTACCATATTGTCACAATTAGCAGGCGAGGAAACAAAGAATAACTGGGGAAACTGAAACGTTTAATGGGGGCAAACTTGTGCCCAAAAATAAAAAGGATACAAAGGATAACAGCAGAGCGTCACGGGCGTCGAGGTCGGCGAAAGAGCAGAGTCGAACGCTGGGGCGAAACTCACTGGCTAGCTACGCGAAGCCCCTTGTGGACACGAGTGAGCTGGAATAGTTGGCGTAGAATGTTCGACGCATAGAACATTCGGACCTCGAACAAGCCAACAGGGTTCTCGAATTTACTAAAAAACTAAATTGCAGGAATAACAAAAGCTGCGTCGCTCCCAGAAATTGAACCCTGGCTTTTCGCGTGGGAGGCAAGCGCGATAAACGGTTAGGCCATGCGCGCGCTGCCTCCTTGGCCTGCTGCGCGTGTGGCAATATGAGCTTTACCTAAAACAGACCTCTTATTGTTATTTATAAGGTTTAACCTTAATCAAATTGCGAAAAGTTGCATACCTCTTGAGTATATCCCAGAACTGGATACTTCCTTAGTACCTGACTGACGAGTGGCTTGGCAATGATCATCCAGTAGCGCCTCTCATCAAAGGTGCAGTCCATTGATGTTGCAAGCTTTCCGGGGTTGTTTTCCTGACCTCTTTCGCCATGAAGGGCAGATGTCCTGCCACTGAAACTTCATCTTCACGATGACACCATTGACCTAAAAGAAGGGATCAAACATGTATCTTAAAAAAAGCTTTCAATAAATTTCTGCACTTCTATCTCATTGAAAAAACTAAATTCAGTACAAATGAAAACATTGGTTAAAAATTAGATATTGGTGTACCTCTCACACGAAATGCAAAATGTGACAGTAGATAACATTTGCTCTTAGAGAAAATCTTATAATCAGGAGAGTGCAGTTACACAGAAACATGCTCGGCCCATATCCCTTTTAATAAATCTAAATTAACTGCCAAAAATATTAACTCATTTATTCAAATAATTATGTATGATTTGCTTCATATTGAATCATGGTGTCGAAAACAGCTGATGAAAGTCAACGTTCACAGAACTAACTTCTTAACTTCACTACAAAGAAAAGCAGCACCCAGTTGAACCACTCAGTCTGTTTGGCATACAAATTAGTGAACACAGAAATACCTTGGCATCAACTCTGAATTTATTATGAGAACCTCATAAGCTACATCCCTGCAAAACCTAACCAAAGCTTGATATTTTTAGTGCATCACCTTTTCACAGTAAACATGATGTGAAAATATCATTGCATTTCTTCTGTTATCATCTGGAAGGGTCTCTTGTCTGGGACCCCCCATCAGTCACTATAAAATAGGGCTACTTGTTTTATAATTAGTTCCTCCATTTTTAAGAAAAGTGCCATGCCTGTCTCGGGCATGACCCAACGAAGCTTTAGCCCGACCAGACGCCTGCATGTCGAACAAATGAATTGTGCAATTACCACAGGAATCGTACTGGGAGCGATGACAGCGGTGCCCCGAGGGCGCGGATGATACAATTTTTTGCGCGACCTTGTAGCACCTCGCTTAGCATATTGTAGGAGCATGACATTGGAGAAGGAGTGACTTTACTCTTGCTACATCCCTCAGACAGTTAGTTTCTGTATCGCCAGCTTATTTACAGGCCCGGAAAAAGGCGTCATATCTCTATAAAACATTGAGCGGCATGCCAGGTCTCCAAGATGTAAAAAAAACACACATGTAAGAAAAAATAAATAAAATTGTCTTCATTGTGTCTTTATGTAAAGTCCTCATGGGCACTTAAAGAAATCAATAAAATATTAAATTACAGCTGTTATAGATGTTTTTAACCAACTTTATTCGTGCCTAGCCAATGAGAATGCCATGTCCCAGGTGTACCGTGTTTAGCAGTTGGCAACAGGATTTAACCGGGTTACGCTTCCTTCCAAAAATCTTCCTGCATGGCAAATGGCATGATTGCAATGTCTTGTTCATGAACAAAAGAAAGTCCGTCTCTCCCGAAAGGTTCCAACCTCAAATCGAAAAGTACAAACACCCGTTCTTCCGGAATGTCGCATAACCTAAGGTTAGTAAACATCAGTCAAAAATGAAACAAAACAAAATACAGTACAACAAACGAAGGCGGCACTACTGTTTTCAGCACTGTGAAATGATGCTACAAACGAGTTTCGAACTCTCTCTAGCTCTCACCGAACCATGCTGGATATGTGCCGGAGAAAGTGTTTTTTCTTTTATTTTTTTTATTTCTGCATTTAGACATTGTGCCATCGCCTACTTTTAGGGAATTTCAGGCAACAGGTTGGTGGGTGCCGAGTCGGAATATTACGGTGTGCATGCGAGTGCCCGAACTAGGCCATTAGTAGCTCAAGAGGAAGCTGTATTTATGCCTACAAATGTTCTCGTTGCCATCAGAACACCAGGAGCTTTCGTGTAATTTCCTTTCCAGACACAATATCCCGACATATTTTGTGTGGACTCAAGTAGGTTCACCTACTGAATTACCTCTATGATTTCTGGTACTTGTAACCTAACCAGAAAAGAAAAAGTGGCAGACATGATCACTGAAAGATCAGAAACTTGCCAGGCTTGTTCTTACCCAGTATCTTGTACACTGGATAGACAGTGGTTTCCCATTTTTTTTCCAATTGTCCATGTATTTGTTAAATGTGAGGACTGTGGGTAGTGATGAAATCTGAAACTGACTTTCTTTTACGAGATTTGCATTGTGGTACTAGGCAGTGAATCACCATTGTCATTGCCTCCAAACATGTACAGTACACATGGATGCAAACAATGTCACAGACCTGCCGGAAGCAGTCACAGTATGTGTCATTTAATAAGGATGCAGCAAAAGCAGCAATGCTTCTGTTCGCTCGAATAGCTCAAGGTAAGGCTGACAAAGCCATTGCTGCTACCAGCTCGCTAGCTTGCCTCTTGGAGCTTGAAGTCGGTCTTCTATGACAACAATCAAACTTTGACAATTGCATATCAAAATCTGCACAGTGCAAGAATAATGGCATGATTGCCAGTAAATTGCACCAATTGCTAATTGTTCAAGACTGGTAATGCAGATTCTCATTACAGCGTGTCTTGGTGGCAGACCTATAGTCCATTTCGTTGTAAGTGAGCGAAGGGGAAGCTACAAGAACGAGCGCAACTTTTTTTATGAAGTCGCTTTTTCAGTGATAAATGGTAGGCGTACCTGGCTAAGAGAATATTGTTGCTGATTAATGTGCTATGTGGGAGTTTCAAGGGAATCCCTGTTTTTCAGCCCAGGTAGAAATGCTTCCAGTCCAGGCTGTGTTATGGAACTGAAAATGGATTACGGCTGAAGCTGAAAATCTATTTTACCAGCCGAATTCCAGGCTGTTTCCACGGAGAAATGGACAAATTTCTTGCTGGAAATTAGATTTTTCCTCCTATAACATGCAGCATTTCCAGGTGGAAATGTTTTTTTTTTTTCCTCCAGGAAAATGCATAATTTCCAGCCAGAAATGTTATTATTTCCACCTGGAAAATGCATAATTTCCAACCGGGAATGTTCTTATTTCCGCCTGGAACATGCATAATTTCCCACCGGGAATGTTTTTATTTCCTCCTGGAACATGTATCATTTCCAGCTGGAACAGCAGCCAAAGTTCACCATGAGAAACTTTACTTTTATTTGACATCTCTTTGACATATACATTGATGATGTCTTTCCTTCTGCAAGCGTAGCTTCCGCTTCACATGATCTTGTCACTGAGGGCTCTTGTCAGGTTCGCAGCAGCGATTGTTGTGTCCTTTTTTTACGTAGCCCCAGTGCTCCAGGCATGCTGAGAATGAAAAGCATGAGAGCAACTGTAATGCTATCTGCTTTTAAAAGTTATGCATAAAATACTGACCAGAGACTACCTGAACCTTGGCCGGTGCGAGCTGCTTAGCGTTGAGCTCCCCTGCCAGCAACCTCCCGCACACCCTTCGCTGAGCCGGTGTTTCTGTACCCCAAATGGCTTGGGCGGCTTCCCGCACAACAATTGTTCCCTTTTTGTTTTTAAATATTTTTGACGCGTTCTCTGCGTCGATGAATGTGTTGTTGCAGAGGTGCAACTGGGAAAAAGTAGACATATATCAACAATCTAAACAAAGGCATGCACCATCTTTGTTTGCCGTACTTTCAAACGTCGCAAAAAATTACAATAAACCATATATGTAAATCTTGTTTAGGTCACTTAACATTGAAAAAAGTTACGCAACCCTTTGAGAACTGTACTTACGCGTCCATCAGCAGTCGGTGGGAAGTTCGGCACTTCATCCATGGGAGGCTGGGCATCTGGTGCAGCTGGGGGCTCGGCTTCTGGGGCCTCGATTGGTGCGGCTGGGAGCTGGACGTCTAATGCTGCCACAACAACTGCACCAGGCTCTGCAACTTTGGAAAAAGAATGTCAAAATGCTACACAGGTGTACTGTATAGGTGAAAAAAGGCCTAATGGAAAACCACAACGAAAAGTTCCAGCGGTGATTGGAAGCGGCACATGATTGGCATTGGCATCAAGAAAATGGACAGCGAATGACGAGGGGTGTTTTATGAATAGTTACTTCAAAAAACTGTTATGCTTACAATTACAGTCAGCTGCAGCCCGATACGGCATTGGACTCTGAAAGCACTTTCCAGAAGCGAGCTTACTTTGATTAAACCCTTCAGTATGTTTTTTCTGGGCTACATAGTACTAATGCAGCACAACACAAGCACACTGAAAGAGAAAATATTATGAAAAAAAAGCACAAGCAAATAATCTCTAAAACAATTTTAATACAATGCACTAAAAGATTCTGCAATTTTTCACCAATAATTAACACAGAGCAAAAAGCAACCGCATTTACCCCCAAAAAATTATCCGTTAGTAGATGGCTCCACTGCAATGTTTTGACCCGATACTCGAGTGCATGGCGGCTTGGCGGAATATGCCATCTAGAAGAGCAACCCTCTGAAGTGGTATGAAGACGCCTGTGTGTTGCTTGGACGGGTGTATGATTAGCATGAAAAGTTCCAAAGTGGAGAGCCCACGATCTGACCGACAAACCTCTCTACGGCCGGGCTCACACTTCGACAACGCCGGAGAGGGCCTCTGCCTTCATACAACTCCAGCACACCAGCCCGGATTGGCCAGAGGGCCAATTCAGGCTGATTCCCACTCTGACAGATGGATCATGAAGCACTGTGCGTGCTCGATGATCCACCACACCTGTTCTGTCAAACCAAGAAGATCGCACAAAATAGGTGTACATCTGCAATATTGAAAGCTTGGTAGTGCTGTTGAGTCGTGCCTTCACAAGAAGGTACATTCCAGCCTTCTGTGTGCACCCAGGGAAAAGGCACTGCCATTAATCCTGTAATTATCACTGCATTTTCTTGCATACATGTACCCCCATGCTAACAAGCGAGGACACATGCTCACTGTAATGATGGACAAATGATACCGTTGATAGGTACATACTTATAAAGCTACCAAAAAGCCAATTTGTAAGGTGCATGACGCACAAAAATCAATCGCTCATACCAGGTTGGTGGGCTCCGATGTGCTTACTATTCATGCTTGGAAGCTCTTGAACCAGCTTCTGCACTAAAAGAAAGAACAAAAAGGTCAGTCAGCTATTATCTCATTTATACACACAACATAGCAATCACCTAACTTACTGTTGTATCTTCTAGCTAATTACTTTCCGGTCACTTCGTCTTCTTCTGTCCTTTTCCTTTCTACTTCCTCTTCTTTACAAAAAGATTAAACATAGAGTCTCGTGGCAGCTGCGCTCAAGTGTAGTCGTTCCATTCCGGGTCTCCAGACACCACATTTTTTCTGGCGACGAGGATGGGATGTGGTGTCTGGAGACCTGGAATGGAACGACCACACTTGAGCGCAGCTGCCACGAGACTCTGTTTAATCTTCTTGCCACTTCTGAACCGCTGACAATGAATGTCTACCAGGAAGCTGTCGACGCCCTCAGCGCGCACTTCAAGAGGTCGTGCGACGTCAGCCTGGAGCGTCACCGCTTCCGTCAGCGCCATCAACAGCCTGGAGAGTCCTTGTCTGATTACCTGACCGCGCTTCGAGACATGGCAGTTCCGGCCAACTTCGGGTCTGAACAGGACGAAAACATTCGGGAACAGTTCACGGCTGGAGTGCTATCGACTACAATTCGAGAACGGCTGCTCCTGGATAGCACCCTTCCCTTCGAGCAAGTAGTGAAAATCGTCCTGAACATCGAAAGAGTCAAGGCCGAAGCCAAAGAGATAACCGTGACTACAGAAAAGCAACTCGCATGCAACGTCACACACGCCGCCGAGACCGTCGACTACCGACCTTCACGTGGAGCTTCGTCCTCCCGTCAATTAGTGGGGCAGAACTTTCCACCGCGTCACGGCGACCGGTACAGCTCGCAATTTCAGCAAGAGTCACGTGAGTGCGTCCCTTTTGCCAAAAATAGACCTGGCTATCGCGCTCCAAGGTACAACGACCAGCAATCGACTCCATCCACTGCGTTCGGACAGTCGCGGCGAGCATTTCAAGCCCAAACACCTAAGTGGCGCGAAACCTATCGCGACGGTCGATCATGTGCAAATTGTGGATTCGGGGTGGACCGCTGTCAGAGCTACGACACATGTCCAGCACGAGGAAAGACTTCCAACGGTTGCGGCCGTATCGGACACTTCCAGCGCGTGTGCCGCAGCAGGCACCGACCTGTCCACCGTCAAAGTCACGTGCGAATCCACGAAATCTTTTCCGACGAAGAGGATGACGAGACACAGGTTTGCCATGTAGCTACGACTTCCCGGATGGGAATTTACATTAACGTAAGTGTCTACGGTAGACCCCTTACGTTCCTCTTGGATACCGGCTCGTCAGTGTCCATCGTCGAAAAGGAAGTCTTTCAAAAGTATTTCAGAAATGACGCAAACATTATTCCACCGCCGGTAACTCTCCTCAACTACTCCCGGCAACGTATTGAAGTCCTGGGAGCATTCAACGCAACAGTCACGTTCAAGGAGCGTTCAGCCAGGATTATGTTTTATATAGCGAATACCGGCACGTCGTTGTTGGGAATGGATCCCGTAAAAGCCCTGAATCTTCAGATTCAAGGATCAACAATGAGCTGTCTCTATACGGAAACTGAGGACTCAACAGAAGCCTCCGAACGTGCCTTTTGACCCATCATCTTCGGGTCACAGCTCGACAGGAGCTCCTGAACATCAAAACGAGTGGACGACACTGCCTACAACTGTACCTTCACGGGCCTCAGAGCGAGATGTGTCGTCGGACTCCATCAAAGCTGCGTGGATGTCCTGTCTTCAACCCCAGGAATCTGCAGCTACGTCCGATGGACTTCTGACGCAAGTTGATCCTACAAGTCGTGAGAACATGGCGAGACTCCCACCAGCATTACCGGGCCTTCCAACGTCCTTGAAGGAATACAGCCACCTCTTCTCTCCCGAGCTGGGTCACGTGAAGGACTACACTCACAAGGTGAAGATCTGAAAATCAGTGCAGCCCGTGCAGCATAAAATGCGTCGCATTCCATTGATGGCACGGAAGCCTGTGACTGAAGAAATCAAACGCCTTGAGGCAGCGGGAGTTATTGAGCGCATAAGTGCCTCAGAATGGGTGTCACCCATTGTTGTGGTCCAGAAGAAAGATGGATCAATTCGGATGTGTGTGGACCTTCGTGAAGCTAATAAGGCTGTCGTTATTGACAGTTACCCTCTTCCTCATGTTGAGGAGCTTCTTAATGCGCTGCACGGCGCGAGACGTTTCTCTAAATTGGACTTGGCGTCAGCTTACCATCAAGTCACACTACACCCTGACAGCCGAGACTTAACCGCGTTTATAACGCACGAAGGCTTATTCCGTTTCAAGAGAGTTTGTTTTGGTCTCGCTTCTGCTCCAGCTACCTTCCAGCAGATGATGGCAACGATTCTAGAAGGATGCGAAGGGGTCTTGTTTTACCTGGACGACGTTATAGTCTTTGGTAGGACTGGAGAACACCTGGAGCGATTGCGCCATGTCCTCCAGCGAATCGCTGATAGTGGACTCAAACTTAACAACAAGTGCGTTTTTGACGTTGCCGAACTTTCATTTTTAGGCCATCATGTCAGCGGCGAAGGAATCGCCCCACTTAAGGGAGGAAGTGGGTTCTCAAAACCTTTTTTTTGTTTATTGGCCTATCTCAACGATTTTTGGCACATGCATGCAGTTTATTGTGCTGATTTCATAACTGCTATCAGATTTCAGATATCTCGTTTTTGTGAAAAGTTATTAACAAAATAAAATATTAATTAGCTAATTTCAGGAAAGTTTTTAATGACCTTCTTATTAAAATTTTAATGAAAAAAGGTATCAATTGCTTCCTAAAGAAATGTCATACAAGCTAAAGCTATTTTTATTTCTATAGCACCATACAATCACGTAAAAAAATTAAAGTGAACAGAAGACATACAATAGAGGCTATAACAATGGCTAATAATGAACCGCCAGTTCTATGTACCAAAAAATATCATAATAAAAATAGCTTTAGCTTGCAGTCCAATTCATTCCAAAAAAAATAGTACCAAGTTTATGAAAATCGGTTGAGCGCAAGTGAATCAAAAAGCCTTCCTGGCCGGAGAATATGCTGAAAAAAACAAAGCTGAGAAAAAAGACTTTGAAGTTCGGGTATGCAAAAGTAACAACATTGAAGCTTTAGATGGGTGGAATGCCCTTGGTTTGAATTTCATACTAAGGGAGAGACACGGGTAGGGAAAAACAGCCCGATATGCAACAATTGGTTAGCCCTGAGAAGGGCTTTTTTAGGGGGCGTCTTCAAAACACCAGCTTGTGAATGGGCGATGGGCGTGCCTGACTCTCAGAGAAGCCCAGGACTATAATCCTGGTCTGTGCCTGCCCTGTGCCTTGTGGAGAGTCTCTTCTTCATGCTGTCAGCATCAGAGAACTCTTTGTTAGCCTTGTGCAGCCTCCGACTGTCCTTCTCGGTGCTCCTCCTGACGAGGGCAGTGCCAGCCGTGTAGCCCAGGCTGCTAGCTACGCTCTCGTTTGTCTTCCTCACTCCCTGGTTGAAGACGCTCACAGCTTCAGCAACAGCCCTCTGTACACTGTACAGTGATGCATGGGTGTTCTTCGAGACCTGTGCCCAGATGACGGAGTGCAGGCTTTCACTCGGGTTCTGCGTCTTGCCATCACTGCACCGCTGGAGCAAGTCCTTGTTGCTAAGCCTGGCAAACACTGGTTCCAGTGCTTCTTGAACAAAGCCTGGGAGGGCGTTCTTGTGGCCACGGGGTTGCTCGTTGTTGGCAACTGCTCTGTTGTAAAAACACCATGAGCTGGCTCCCTCGGGGCAGAGGTCGTGGTCGGGAGACTCGTCGGTGGACGACATGTGGCGAAGGGTGGCTTGCACAGCTTTCTGCATCGCAGGTACGTCGTGGCTGTGGCTCCGAAGGGCATAACCATAGTAGTTGGTTATCTTTTTTATCCTGTCTTGTGTCAGCCTGCCCTTTCCTCCGAGCACCTCGCCTTGAGCCTTCTTTTTGTCAACAAGCGTCCGCAAGGCTGATCCCATCCTCTTGTGGACATGGTTGAGGCAGTCCTTTTCAATATCCACGAACCCGTAGACAGCTTCATCTGTAAGAGCATGATGCGTCCTACTGTCTCCGTCAGAGAGGACCGTTGTGTAGCGCAGACCATGCTTCTCAAAGGACCTTCTGAACATGATGAGTGCTGCCTCCACCTCCATTCGCCCCGACTTGCAGTCTATGTTCTTTTTGCAGTCTGGCTTGTGCTCGGCCAACCACGCACTGTAGCTTTCCTCTTCGGGCTTTGGGCCAAGTGAACATCCCAAGCAGAGGTTGCAGAGGACGATGTGGTCGATCACCAGGCCGGTGTATAGCTCCACGATGCAGCCCACACCAATGTGAGACGTGCGACCCCGCGTCTTCCAGGTGCCATCATACATGACGTCAATGTTGTTCGGAAGGTTCAGAAAGTCTGCATAGAGGGTCCTCACAGCTTCAACACTTCCTGCTTCACAAGCTGCTGCTGACAGCTCACAGGCTTGCATCACTGTCGGCAAGTGGTGCTGGAACGTCTTATGGTGAAGGCCTCTGTGAGAAACGTTCAAGGCCGCGCAGAAGTCGGAGAGCGCAGTGGACCCTTTTCCAATGGACTGAATCCCTTTCACAGCTCTCATGTTGAGCTCAAAAGGCGTAATCCGTGCCTCCCCTTGAGTTCTGGGCGACGAAAAATGCTTCTCGCAGAAGCCGCACGACGGGCACGTCAGCACCAACTTCACAGCCAGCCCGTACTCTTTCTCCTTGGCTTTCTCGAGCGTAGGCGCGGCCAATCCGCACTGCCCACATTTGGTGCTCGCGAAGAACATGTTCAGCACGTTCAAATCGACGATCACGAACTGCGTGCCGGAATCTGTCTCTTCATCCTCGACCGAGACATTGAGGAGGTCGAACTTCCGTTGCGTGGCAGACTTCGCGGCCAAATCCTTCTTCAACTCATCAGCCCGCGCCGCACGTTGGGCAGTTTCGCTTGCCGTGTAGAAATGCGAGTCGAGTCGTGACGGACCAGGGCCGAAGCCGTC